ATGGAAGAAAGCACTTGAAGAAGTTGCTAATTTAAAAGGGAAGGATGCAAAGGGATGGTAACGATCCTTCTTACCCATTTTTCTACGTACAATTTCAATATTACATTCTCTTTAAGCATTTCTGTGTTTATTTCATGATCATAAATTTAAATAGCCATCTTTTTTATGTATTTCTAAATGTGTTAATTAGCGAACTTTGATTAAAATAATAATTAAATATGATATAATTGATTTGGAACTTTAAATCTCCAAATATGTTTATTTGGTTCTGTGGGTGGTGGTTTGTAGTTCTCTCTAAAATCAATTTCAGGCAAGAGACAAAGTTTATTGAAGAAATCATCACAGACGTCTACCACAGATTAGGTGTACCCTTAAGGAGTGCTCTACCATTCCTCTGCGGGATGGAAAAGTCTATAGAGTTTATCACTTCATGGTTGAAAGATGGATCATTGCATACCGCTGATATTCTCACTATTTWTGGTTTGGGCGGCATAGGGAAGACATCTTTGGCCAGATACGTTCACGAGTTACATTGTTGATTGTTCGATAGAAGCAGCTTTATTGAAGGTGTCAATGAGAAATGTACTCAACAAGTTAATGGACTACTTGATTTACAAAAACAAATATATCACGACATTTCAAAAACAAGTYYGATTCATGTTCATGATGTTTTCAGTTACACCTCTATCATTGAGAATGCACTAGCTCGTCAAAAGGTTTTTATAGTTCTTGATGATATTGATAGTCTCAAGCAGCTGGATGCGTTACTCGGAAAAAAAGGTTTTCATCCGGGTAGCAAAATCATAATAACGACTAAAGACTCATCATTGAACGAGAAATATGCATTAACCAATTCAATAGTTCAACCCAAGCATACAAAGCTCTTTCTTGAAGGCTTAGATAAGCAATCATCATTACAGCTTTTAAGTTATCATGCGTTTAAGGGAAAATGHCCCGAGAAAGGTTACGAAGAAGTGTCGAGAAAGCTTATGGCATATTGTCAAGGACATCCATTGGCTCTTGAAGTTTTAGGTGAGTCTTTGCATAAACGAGACGTTGCTGAATGGGAGGAGACAATAGAAGGGCTAAAGGAAGAAACAGTTTTTCGTATTCAGAAGGCATTGCAAATTAGCTTTGAGTCTATGCCATCTAACAATGATAAGGAATTGTTTAAGCATATTGCTTGTTTTTTTGTTGGAAAAGATAGAAACTAYGTTGAAACAATATTGAAGGCAAGTGGTATCCGCACACTACATGGGATCGCAAATCTCATCGACAGATGTCTTCTTACCATCGGACCAAGAAATGAGTTAAAGATGCATCAATTGCTTCAAGAGATGGGAAGAGATGTAGTACGCCAAGAATCACCAGAGAAGCCGTGGAAGCGTAGTCGATTATGGTGTCATGAGGAGTCACTCAATGTGTTGGAACGAAACAAGGTAAGATGCCATGTGTACTTGTCATAATTATGCAAATTCCAAGTAATTTGTATTATCTATGTACACTTACGTAAGCATTTTTTTAGTTTTTTGACATTCACTTTCTTCTTAGGGTTCGGGAAAACTTAAAGGCCTCGTTCTTGACATGGAAATGCTTGAGAAAGAGGACACGTGTGAATCGTTTGAGTTGGAAACAGATGCATTGAGTAAGATGGATAATCTAATGCTACTACAACTCAATTATGTGAAATTCAATGGATCTTATAAGAATTTCCCTAAAAAATTAAGATGGTTGTGTATGCATGGGTTCCCTTTAAAGTCTTTACCTTTAGACATACCAATGGAGAATATGGTTGTGCTTGACATGTCTTACAGCAATTTGGAATCTTTTGACATGT